GAGGGCGGTCACACTTGCTTATAGTTTTCTCCGACACAAACGTACATGAATACAATGAATAATAAAAATGATAATACACTCGAGCAGGTGTGTCATATGACCTGTATGAAACTCGTGCAAAATTATGCATTGGCCTAGTTCTCGCTCGGGCAATACAAAATTACACACGCGTTTCTTAGAAGTCGTATGACCCACTTGCTCGTGTTATAATCACTGTGTATACAATAAACAGGGGATTACGAGATGATCTGTTAACATTCAAAGAAATGAAGACAAAAACACTTTTTCCATGAGAATGTTAAGAGTTGAAAATATTTACGAGTTTAAGGCATTATAACCCTAGAGAAGTACATTTGTTTCCAGGGAGATAAAACACCAAGTAATACAGATGTTATACATGCGATGTGTATGCTATTGCATGTAAAGAGTATTCAGAGACCATAAAATGTTGGTTTCCTTCTGCTGCAATGCCAACTACGTCACCAAAGGTAGGTCCATATGAAGGGAGAAGGAAAGCAAAATGTGTTTTGCAGCTTTTTAACATTTTCAATTTATTTTTTGATACATGCAAATGTGTACCTTTGAATATGATGACTGATTAAGTTTTATGAACTTTATTGTTTGACACAGACTAACCATTGCCTGAATGATTTGGCAGCGATGTAATTCCCTCAACTAGTGTATTCTTCACTATGATCACATGTATAACAGACTTTGTACCTGACAAATATTACTTGTCGTATTTTTCTCGTACAGTACTTCATTTGTCCATGATGGTAGTGTCACTAATATTTTTCTTATTCCTTGTCAGAATGATGGGTTCCAGGTTTTCAGTCTCACCACGGGTAGCATTATAATCAAAATATCAGCATTAAAATCAGACACAGCCATACCATCAGTTTCAATGCCATGGTCTAGACCATGAATTCCTGGCCTCTTCCACTGACTGGGCAATGGCTTCATCTGCACTTGTTGGTGGTTAAGGTGCTCCTCCAGTTGCGGCTATCGACCTTCTGAGGCCATCGATCTTTGTTTTAGCTACAATAAACAAATAAGCAGTTTAACGTCACTTATGAACACACATATTTTTATTTGGAATATTCAACATATCACACAGACATTCAGCTGATGCAACAATGTCAACATTCAACATATCACACAGACATTCAGCTGATATCACAATGTCAATATTCAACATATCACACAGACATTCAGCTGACATAACAATGTCAACATTCACCATATCACACAGACATTCAGCTGATATCACAATGCCAACATTCAACACATCACACAGATATTCAGCTGGCATAACAATGTCAACATTCACCATATCACACAGACATTCAGCTGATATCACAATGTCAACATTCACCATATCACACAGACATTCAGCTGACATAACAATGTATCAACATTCACAATGTCATTCATATCACACAGATATTCAGCTGACATAACAATGTCAACATTCAACACATCACACATACATTCAGCTGATATCACAATGCCAACAATCACCATATCACACAGACATTCAGCTGATGTCACAGTGCCAACATTCACCATATCACACAGACATTCAGCTGATATCACAATGTCAACATTCACCATATCACACAGACATTCAGCTGACATGACAATGTCAACATTCACCATATCACACAGACATTCAGCTGACATAACAATGTCAACATTCACCATATCACACAGATATTCAGCTGACATAACAATGTCAACATTCAACACATCACACATACATTCAGCTGATATCACAATGCCAACAATCACCATATCACACAGACATTCAGCTGATGTCACAGTGCCAACATTCACCATATCACACAGACATTCAGCTGATATCACAATGTCAACATTCACCATATCACACAGATATTCAGCTGACATGACAATGTCAACAGTAACTACATGTAAACTGATAGTTATACTGTCATTACTTGAAACAATAAGTGAACTAATTCAAGATAAAATCAATAATCAGAATGTTAAGATTATGAACAACAGGGCGCCGAAATTGTTCCGTTTGTGAAAATTCTTTTGCTAACTAAGATTATTTGTAATTATTTTCAACAGATATTTGTAATTGTTGGAAAGATGTGGTAGTGAGTGGAGAGGGCTGTGGTGATAATTTCTTGAGGTACGGTAAATACTAGAAACGATCGCATATGGAATCATGTTGAACAACTTACGCGTTTAGGTGTCCGTGTCTTCACTCCATACCCCTTGATATCTCCAAAGAGAAATCCTTCTCTGGAGAACTTCCTGGATGAGGCAAACCTCTTCCGCCTCAGACCACCCCTTTCCGCGTGTTCTTAACTCGGGCACACCCATCGGTGTCATTGTAAATAAGCAGACGACAACATCCGAATCGTTTTCTTACCTTTCCGCACGGAAGAGTTCCAAACTGGCGTTTGTGTCTTAAACAAAGAGTACGTTTAGCATATACTCAAGCCGTATGTGAGTTGTACTCAACTGAGTACACACTGAAAACGTTTTATAGCCTCCGTTTGAGTACAAAGCTCAGTTGAACACGAGCACGGATTTGAGCATGAAACTGAGTTGATTACAAATTGTTTATAACCTCTAGGCCAGGTGGGTTATTAGGGTTAGTTCCAGCAAGTCAGGGTTTACCTGGTGGGTTATTACTTATTCCCTGTGGGTTAATAGTAAAGTCTTATTTCCAGCAAGTCAGAATTTACCAGGTGGGTTATGATGGGTATGGACACTGGGTCGGTGTCCAGGGTTGAACCTTGGAATGGATCCGAACGTACTTGTCCAATAGATCACAGGTTGTAAGAATCGATGGTGTAAACTAACAGAGGAAATATCTACTTTATGGCGTTCAACAGGGGTCTGTTCCTGGGCCGATCCTTTTCACTAAATACATGCTACCAACTGGTGACATCGCCAGAGCACACAACCTCGATTTTCACTTCTACGCGGATGACAGTCAGATCTATCTGGCTTTCAAACCACTAACCACCACAATATCTTATCAGCGAATCCAACAGTGTATAGGCGACATCAAGCACGAGATGACATCAAACCTTTTTTTAAAATTGAACGATGGAAAAAACAGAGTTGTTGGTCATCTGCCCTAAGCAAACCATGACAAGGATCCATCTGCCAGTTCCCAAGTGGCGAACACAGAATACCCAGAGGTCCACATGCCAGGAATCTGGGGGGTTATCTTTGACTGGTCACTCAGTCTGGAGACCCTTATCAACTCTTTTTGCAAGAGGTCATACCACCACATTAGCAACATTGGTCAGATATGGAGGTACCTTAATGTGGATACCAAACGAGCTCTAGCCCAAGCCTACGTTACATCCAGGAAAGTCTATTGTAACTCGCTGCTATATGGCCTTCCACAACAACTTGTAAATAGGCTCCAAAAAGCACAACATACAGCTGCGGGAAGCATCACTATAACAGCGGAGTGGGATCACACCAGACCAGTGCTTGAAAACCTTCATAGGCTTCCTGTCCACCACAGAATCCAATACAAGATCCTCGTTCCAGCATGATAGACATCTATCAACCAGTCCATCAGTTACGATCAGCCGAACAGAATCTACTTGCTGTGCCACGGACTAGGACAAAGATGTTTGGAGATAGATCTTTTGGTAAAGCAGGTCCAGTTCTGTGGAACAGATTACCTCTTTACCAAAGATCAGGCCCCGATTTCTCGAAACAAACTTAAGCTTTTACTCAAATTTCAAACTGAGTTTGACAATTTGAAACAGCTGAATTTTTAAACTCAACTGCATTTTTTAAATAAAAAAAAGCCCAAACACCTTAAGTAATCTATTTACCAAACTCAAATTGTCCACTAAGTTTTAGTTTAATATTGATTTCAGTTTATTCTGGGGAATGCATTTTCCTGCGTTTTCTCAAATTTGAGCGAAAACTCAGACTTAAGTCAAAGACTTAAGTTTGTTTCGAGAAATCGGGGCCAGAACAACAGCTATCCATTTTCAAGGCCCAGCTAAAGACTCACTTATACAGAGAAGCATTCAATCTGTAAGTGTTGCTTGAAGCTAAAGACTCACTTATACAGAGAAGCATTCAATCTGTAACTGTTGCTTGAAGCTAAAGACTCACTTATACAGAGAAGCATTCAATCTGTAACTGTTGCTTGAAGTGTTTTCCTTGAACTGATGCGCTTTTGAGTAGCTTCTGTTGGATTCTAGCATTCTAAACCCTGTTGGTAATTACTTATTCCCAGTGGGTTGTTACTTATTCATAGCAAGTCAGGGCTTATCAGGTGAGGTATTACTTATTCCCAGTGGTTTATTATTTACTTCCATCAAGTCAACGTTTACCCTGTGGGTTAATACTTATTCCCAACAAGTCAGGAATTACCAGGTGAGATATTTCTTATTTCCGAATGGCTTATTACTTACTTCCAGCAAGTAAGGATTTATCAGCTGGGTTATTACTTATTTACTTTGGGTTATTATTTATTCCCAGCGAGTTATAATTTGGGTGGGGTTATAGAGTCATGGTGGTTTTAAACCTAACCAGGCGTTACATGGATCTGTCTAGTCATTACATACATCTGCCGAGTATTGCTGACGTGGTGGGCGAACCGGCTAAAGCGCCAGGTTAGTGATCCAGCGTGTTTGAGGTGACGGGATCGAGCCCACCTGTCACCGAGTGTAAAAACCTTGGAGTCAACTTTGTGTGCAGACTCTTTCAGTGTTGTCACAAGCCCTGGTGTACAGTACACAACCCTGTGCACTTGAAAGAACCCGCGAATCTGTATGACCAGATGGTGGCCACATGAACACCTAGTTGCGGGTACAGCAACGTGCAGTTAACTTGGACAAAGTACTGTGACTATGTTTCTTAGCATACATGTATGTAGTAAGTTTATTACTAACCAGACGTATCATGTGTATACTTTGATAAGGATTACGCGACAGCTGAGTGGCTATCTGAGAGTGGCACAACGTACCGAGCGAGTCGTTACTTACCAAAAGCCACGGCAACTCCGATGGGAAAGGCTAAGACAGTTTTCAGTGTCCGGTGTTGGTCAGGTGACGACCGTAACAACAGTTTGAGAAGCCCAAACAGCTTTCTGCAGGAACCACATCGTTCTGATTTACCTGGGGATGATATGCACATGCGCAGTTAATATTCTCTTCCTCTGAGGCGTAGATAAATGAATGAACCAATTACAGGGTAAATTGTGGCTGCATGAACCAGTGTTCCTTCAGAATCGATTACTCACCGACACTCCTTTCACAAAATACATATAGTCATCTTCCGTCAGAATAACTACTGACGCACCAGCCCTACCACGCCTTGAAGCTTTGAACAAAGTCCTGCCTAAGACGCAATGGAACGTGATGACGGGCACGGCGAGATGACGTAACGCAATGGAACGTGTGGGGACGGCGAGATGACGAGCACGTGACGCCTGAGACGTAATGAAATGGACGGGCACGACGAGATGACGAGCGCGTGACGCCTGAGACGTAACGCAATGAAATGGACGGGCACGGCGAGATGACGAGCACGTGACGCCTGAGACGTAACGCAATGGAATGGACGGGCACGGTGAAATGACGAGCATGTGACGCCTGAGATGTAACGCAATGAAATGGACGGGCACGGCGAGATGACAGACACCTACTACGGGTGTCCGTCGTGGTGACACACGACTATTTACGTTTCAACCGAGACATGGTGAGCAATGGGCTACATAAGCGCAGATGAGACAAGGCGTAACTGAAATCGCAATACGCACTAATGTTGGGTATTCACTTCGTTGGGACATTCTGTGACCATTCTGAAGGGAACGGGATCGTGGGAATCATATTCTAAAAAAACAAAGTAACGTTGCTTCATTAACCCCCTGAGAGCCACAGGGACATATATGTCCTTCTTCTTCAACCCTCCATTTGAAGTTCAATAAAAATCAAAATATCCCACGCACACAAATACACTTCACAGTTTCGAATTCTGCGGTAAATCTCCTGTTTCGTGATACCATCTACTTGTATTTGGAACGAAGCTCAAGTGCTGAAAATGACCTTTCAAAATTGGCTTCGTCGAAAATGTCGCCATTTTTGACACAGTACGAAATCGCGATTCATAGCGTTATTTGTTGTATGATTTGAAATGTGAAAATCGGATAATTACTGGATTTTAAAAAATATTTTTTAGAAAATAAAATATTAATGACCACTGATATCACTTTTTCGTGATATCACTAATGATAATTCTGAAACGTTGCCAATGAACCTAGAATCGGTTGGGATGTTTTCGAAATACACCTACACGAACGCCGAAGTGTGCTTTCCGCCATATTGGATAGTGTTTACAAAATCACGTTTCGCAAAGGCAGGTATTGAGACGCCAATGTGCATCACGTATATTTCATATTCAGCTTCGAAAAATGCAATAAATTCCCCATACATTTAGAATCAAATTGCAACTGGCCTTTGTCACCAATACCAACTGTCTAGATAAACTGAGACGAAACATAATGGGTGTGAAAACGAACGCTGTACTCGCTTGGGAGAGCTGTCTAAGGCGCCAGGGCCCCGTTTTACGGGGCTCTCGTAAGCCTAAGATCTCGTAACTTTTCTCGTAGCATTCGTGCCTCCTATGTTACAGTATAGGAGGCACGAATGCTACGAGAAAAGTTACGAGATCTTAGGCTTACGAGAGCCCCGTGAAACGGGGTCCAGGCTAGTAATCCAGCGAGCCTGGAGGTGCCGGGATCGAGCCCACCTGTGACCGGGTTTAAAAACCTTGGAGTCAACTTTGTGTGCAGACACTTTCAGTGTTGTCACAACCCCTAGTGTACAGAAAACAACCCTGTGCACTTAAAAGAACCCACGAATCCGTTGGTATAGACCTTTCCACGGAGCAGTGCTTCGTGCCACTCTCAGTTATCCCCCTTTGTGGTGGCGCTAGTGTCGTCCGCCATTAAGCGGCTGCAAATTGACATTGACGTTTTACGTCTGGCAACTTGCTTGTTTTTTTCGAAAATATGTCTCGGGACAGAGGTAGGCCTTATGAACGTGGATCAGGGAGAATTTGTGCTATGAAAGACTGTACAAATAGCCAGAGAAATCTACGTATATGGAAGGAATTGCCCTGTACAGTACATAAACTGCCACGGAAGGACTGCCCTTGTTTGTTTCCCTATCATCTCCATAGGTTTCCTGTGAATGAAGATCGTCGTCGTGTTTGGGTGTCACGTGTTAATCGGAAGGATTTTCACCCATCTGATAGCAGTGTGGTATGTATTTATCAAGATAATTAGTGGCACAATAGTTTATCCCATCTGATAACTAGAGATAATGAAACGTTAGATATTTTGTTATTCATGTAGGGCCTACAGTGCTGTACCCCGTTTCACAAAGCTCTCGTAAGCTAAAGATCTCGTAGCATTCGTACCTCCTATGTTACAGTATAGGAGGTACGAATGCACTGTAGGGTAAAGCTATGCAACAAAGGGTTGAACGACAATTTTTACTAGTAAAATATTCCAACATTTTAAAACCTTATGTGCTACAAATCATTATTCTAGAGACATTTGTATTGTAGAAACTTACTGACATCTTGCAATATGCCCAAAAATATTGAGAGGAAACATTCTATTTATCATTATTTACTAAATATATCTTTCCTTAAAATTAGTTAATAATAACATTACTGGATTAATTTATTATGTAATTTATTATTGCTTAATTACTTTACCCTCCGTGTATCGTTTGTGTACACATAGTACAGGGATGTAAAGAATTTCTTTATTTAACGGCTCTAGTATTTAACAGGAGTGAAAAAAATAAATGTTGAAAATGTGATAACCCATTGTAGTTACTGGAGTGACATTGGCTAAATAGAAATGTACTTATTTTATTTTTATAACTCTTTTTCAGATATGCTCAATTCATTTTTTGGATGGCCATCCAAGCAAACAAAATCCTGATCCAGTCTTAAATTTGGGATATCAAAGAAAGGTTAGTGTACTTTTAGTTTAATGTAATGTACAATATAGTCCTACTAGTGATGTATTAAACGTAAAGTTATTTTGACAATTATGTTATAAACTATTTATTACTGTTCATTGATGTAAATGTATAATAGCCTGTTATACTTTAACTTTCCACTCTCCAGGTGACACAAGGAAGAAGGACCATTTTCCGATACCCTCTCTCTGATGTTTCTCGGACCCCAAGGAGCAATCAACTGACTGAGGAGTGCCATGCTGAAGCTGAACTGACAGATCAACCTGTATCTCAAGCTGAAGAGAAGGAAAAGGAGAATGATGACTCCAGACCAAGTGATTGTGACTGTTGTAAACAGAAGTCTTGTTTTTGTCTTCACAGACCTATGATAAAAGTTCCAAACAGAACTGTAGGAGTACAGGTTCATTTTAACAAGTCAGTAGATCACCATTATGCAACCCAGCACTACACGACCAAAACAAAGAATGTCTCTGTTCAGGTTAATTTTCCTGCCTTTTCTGCAGACAGTATTAAGACTGACACTGATTCTGTGTTTTACACTGGACTTACTCTACAAGTGTTTCTGTCAATAATAACTTATCTTACATCTGTACTGCGGTCAAACATTAAGATGCCACTCTCAGATCAAACACTACTCACACTTATGAGACTTAGGCTTGGAATTCAGTTTCATGATCTCGGGAGAAGATTTTCAATTTCCACGCAATTAGCAAGTAAAATTTTTGGAATTTGTATCTCAATTTTAGCCAGAAAGCTAAAGGATTGCATTGTTTGGCTCCCAAGAGATGTTATTCGATCTGCAATGCCAATGTCCTTTAAGACTACCTATCCACACACTACCTGCATTATTGGCTGTACAGAAATGTTCTTGCAACGTCCATTTTCATTGAAGGTTAGAGCTCAAACCTACAGTACATATAAAAGTCACAATACTGCTAAAATTCTTGTTGCGATTGCTCCCAATGGGTATATTATGTATGTTTCAAGATGCTATGGGGGTTGTGCAAGTGATGTGTATATCACCAAGAACTCGGGTTTTCTAAACTACTTGTTACCTGGTGATGAGGTAATGGCAGATAGAGGCTTTACAATAAGCAATGAACTTTATGCCAGAAGAGTGAAACTGAACATTCCTGCTTTTATGAAGGGTCGTAAACAACTGAGTGCTACAGAGTGTATAGAAACACGAAGAATTGCATCTGTAAGAATACATGTAGAAAGAGCAATTGCCAGGTTGAAGTCTTACAGAATATTGAATCAGGTTCTACCTCTTAATTCTGTTCAAAAGTTGGATAAGATAGTCAAAGTGTGTGCAGTCCTGTGTAACCTCAGACCAGAACTCATCAAGGACAAAGACTGAGTAGTCATGTATGTTTCAGACATCTAGTAGGCTGCTTAAGCTTATGAGATGTATGTGATTTTGCAATGTGATATTTCACCAACAAGAATGATAAATTATAAATACATATTCTCATTGAATTGATGTTTAAATCATTAAACTGAATGTTCACCTCACCTTGATTTTTGTTATCATTGCTGTTTTATGTTTAAATACCAACCTATAGATATTCAATGAAATCAAACTTGTAAATCACCTTAACCCTTTAGACTGCCATATGCATGGCACCATATATACAGTGATAGAAACTACCAGTGGCAGATGGCCACCACTTTTGTCTTTGGGCCACTGATATTTTGGAGAAAACAATAGCAGTTAGTGATCACCAAAAGTGTTTTTTATTTTTTACAGATACATCACCACTTGGGCCACTAGGAAAATCTCACAAGTTTCTGTAACTGTATATATGGTCCCATGATATGTGTGACAACAATATTCCTGCTTCAGGGGGTTAAACATTTCATCTTAAGTGTGAGTAATTACATGAGATATAAATACTGATCATGTTCATTAAAAACAAAAACACATATTCATTTCATACTGGTACATTGTATTTTATTATTCAACCTAAATATGTTAAACATTTATTTTAAGTTACTAGCGTGTTAAATAGTATTTGACTTGAACTGTAGTTTTCTTCATAGAATATCAGCAATTCATAATACACAACTTTGATTTTATTACTATTCATTTGAGTGTCAGTGAGTGAAGGAAATGTACA